GCGGGGGCATCGCTGTAGGAGACCGCAGCGGTTTTTTCTGCCGGGGGACTTTCTGTTCCTTTCTTTTCTCCCTATTTTTTCCCCCACGCCCCTCCCCAAAGTCACTTTTGTTTTCTTGAGATGATAAGTTTAACATGACTCTTGATTTCTTGTGCCCAGCACGAAGGCCTTGTTTCTAAAACTAGTTTGCTTGTGTTTTACTACCTTGTTAGTATTCCACATGAGATTGTCTTGAATGGGAAAACACTTTACCAAACCAAAGGTTGCTGTTTTATTTCGAAGCATCTCGTGTTCATTCCAGTGAAGCAGAGGCTGCACTTTCTTTCTGGTGACACGAAGGTCAGCGATGCCAAGCTGTTGGCGACAGTCCGCTCAGAGCTGTCCCTCTCTTCTTTTACTCTTTCGGGCTTGTTTTTAACCCAGTCTGGTCTTGATCTGTCCTTTACGTCAGCCCTGCTGTGGCGTGGGTCTCTGAGCCAGACTCGATCGCAGTCCGTCTCCCCCGATGGATGCCCGGTTGAGACAGCAGTCCGTCTCCCCCGATGGATGCCCGGTCGAGACGCTGGTGTTCTTTAATATTAAACTTACCCACCTTGCTAGGGAAAAAAAAAAAACACGACCTGCAACAGAAAATTGGCTGGTAGAAGATCCCCGAACACTTTGTCCCCTTATTTCGAAGCCAAGCTTCACCTAAAATAACGGCAGGTGCCTGCGACTTGCGACTTAATTTCCCCCCCGGTTTTCAGTACTTGGAAAAGTAGAAGTCAAGCAGCCTGTCAGACTCGTACTCCTGTACTAGGAACCTCAGCCACCGCGGAGAAAAAGGAAAAGCCGATGAGGAAAAGCACAGTAGGGTATTCAGTCCGGGCTCTGCCTTTCGGAGACTGCCAGCGGGTACCCCTGGGGTGGCAGCTGATTTCCACGGGGCTCTCAGCCGGCTCTGGTCGTAGTTGGCTTCGTTTTGCAACACTGCAATAACGGCAAAACGACAGGAAAGGAAAACAGTACCTAAGGGGTTAGCTCGAGAAAAGTAGCTTCCTTGTGTTGGTCTTTCTCAATTTATTTTTAATATATATATATATAAAATATATTTATATATATATAATTAGCTTGCCTGTAAAATTTGCGTTCATTAATGTGTTGCTGATGGATCACTTGGGCCTGTACACACCAATTAGCGTGACCACTTCCATCTTAAAAACAGAAATCTAAAAATATATATATATATATTAAGGACTGTGGGTTGTATACAAACTATTGCATACACTTGTGCAAATCTGTCTTGATTTAAAGGAAAAGCAAAACCTGTATAACATTATTACTACTTGAATGCCTCTGTGACTGATTTTTTTTTTTTTTTTCATTTTAAATATAAACTTTTTTTGTGGAAAGTATGCTTTATGTTTTATTATTTCCCCTGCCCCATTCCCCTTGTAAATACGTTTTGTTCTGTGTGACTCGGTTCGGAAATAGTTAACTGGTACTGTAATTTGCATTAAATAAAAAGTAGGTTAGCCTGGAAATGAAATCTAAAAAATACCAAGTGTGTGGTCTTTATTTCAAAAACTTGCCCCTTTCTTTCCTCCTCCTCTTCTCCCTTCTCCACCCCTCGTTCCCCGCCCTCACGCCTCTTTCCACTCCGCAAGAATAGGTG